GATTATTTTTATAGGCGTGTGGAGAGTTTCTCGAAATTTCAGGTTTACGTAACAATACTGACGTTAACACTAACGTTCACGTATACGCATATATTGTTGATTCTTACACTCTAGAATCTTCTACAACTTTAGAGAATAAGCGGGAGTTTCGCAATAAATATTTAACAGTATAAGTTATGTACATTTCTAAATATAAGTTTAATATAAACAAACATCGATATTAAAATAAATCCGCCACACTTTGCGTTTAAGCGCAAAGTCATACAATGGACTAACTGGGATGTGCTTATCAAAGCTCAGCATTAATGTTACTTCAATATTAGCTATATTTTGGTTGCTCAAAAAAATGTATGTTATGAAAAACTCTAGTTTTCGGAAATATCGTTAATTTTTACGTTACTTCATCTCCTCTAGTTTTCGGAAATATCGTTAATTTTTACGTTACTGCATCTCACAAATACATGTCCATTTTATTGTCTGAAACTGAATATTTAGCGTCGGTAAAAATAAGACAAATTTAATGCAAAGAAATCAATAAACAAAATATAAAAAATAAACATTTTTGTTGAATTGATTCTACATTTCCAGATTATACAAAGGAAACAATCTCTGATATGATACGAAACTAGTTTTTCCTCTTTATCAGTTATTTATTTTAAAACTTGCTTAGTATGTATATTACTTAACTTTAATAGCGTGCAAATTATCAATAAAATTCTGACTGTTTCTAAAGGAAACGTCAAATAACTGTTTTTTTTAACCTTACATTTCATACTACCTAAAGAGTATCGTATAGGTTTTTGTAGCAATTAACGGGGAATATATGTAATTCGCTTTTGTACTGTTGGATATTTTCTTTGATTTGAAGTCTGTAAACACGCTTTAGCACAAATTGGTTTTGTTCATCTCAAAGTTTTTCAGTTCTGTAAAAAACATTTTATATATCCGTTAGTACAAACATTACATGTGGAAAAGACTCATTCCTTCGCACTGATGTCTCTTAAGGATTAAGCGGTGTTTAATCATTAGAAGTTTTTTAAATAACTAAGTGTTTAATGGTGAAGCTTTAGAATCAGAACTTTTGTGTTGGTCCCTAAAGGTGCCAGATTATGCTTTCAGTGGTTTACTTAATAGTGATTTACGTAAGTTTAGTTTTAAATCGTATATTTAGCAATACACCGTCCCGCGGGAATACAATCAATTCCTCTTCCAAACTTTGTCATTCCCGTTTTGTGAAGTTCAATTACGACAACATGTTTGTCAAACACCATACAGAGTCTATAAGAAAAGAACAAAATATCGGTTTTACTGGGTTGATCTTTTCTGGATTATAAGCTCGGCGAAGTTTGCAACCAGCGGAGCTCAACAGAACGTATTACTTAGAAAGATTATTTGCTTCTTTTCTCCTTAAAATAATGATTTGCGAAAACTAGTTATGTCCCTAAACACCGGAGCAAGAGGTACGCATTTAATTTACAGAAACCAAACTTGCTGTTGTTTGATAGAATTGTCAGTTTCTCATCTTTAAAAACATTTTAAAATCCGGTTCTATCTTGTTACACGACAAATATAATATAAAACAAATAAGAAATTTCACCGGATCATTAGAATATAGGATAACAACAACAAATTATGAAGCTGGAGGGCTAGATGTCAGTTATTTAGCTTAGTATCATAGAGCCAAAACCCATTCTTTTAAGTTTCAGTTTTGTTTCTCACAATAATAGAAGAGGCCACGTGCTTCCTACGTACATACCATGAAAAAGTTGTCGTTTAAATCAGTCACACAACGTCACTTGTAAATTAATTGTTTTATGACACTTTTTTGATCTTGTTGCAACAAATACTACAAAATATTAAAATACTGTGATTAACCATTTAAAGGTTTACGTTGAATGAATAGCATAAACATTAATATCTGACATAGCTTATAAATCTTCCGATAGCCCTGCATGGCCAGGTGGTTAGGGCGCTCGACTCGCAATCTGTGGGTCTC